CATAGAGCCAGCGTTTGTCCAAAGACAGTTTCCGGGGTCACGTGGCCAGCGCAACTAGACACGGAACGTGGTACCTATAGACACGGAATGTGGTACCAAGGTGGTACCTATTTATCTACTCACATTTTTACATGCTTTCAAACTGCTAGGTTGGCAGGAGTAAAATACAGTGTTACAACACCATAATAGACAAGAACACAATATACCAGCCAATTGGTCCCCTTGGATGTTTTTGACTACAAGTGGCTAACTCAAAGAGCTGGTACAAATTTATAAAGCCCTAAATGGCTTGGGTCCAATCTCTCTAAAGGACTGCGTCTCCCTATGTGACCCTGCCTGAGTTTTAATATCTCAGAGGAGGCTTTCTCTCAACCTCGCCACCTTCACAGTTGTGTTTGTTTGGTATATAGAAGAAGACTGCTCCCAGACACTGGGACTCCTTCCCACGGGAGGCCAGGATGGCCCCATCTTTGCTGTAAGGGTTTCTTAAACAGATTGTAGTTCCTTGTTGCTTTGAATGTGTTTTAATGTTGGTTTTGTTTCCTGCATTAGTGTGGTATTTTTTCTTTTTAATATTTGTATACTTCTGTTTTTAGCTTTTATATATTGTCTTTTACTGATGTAAGCCACCTTGGGTCCTTTTTAAGGAGAAAGGCAGGGTAAAAATATTTTAAATAAATAAGCACAAGTCCCATAATTTATTGGCTATGACAACTCAGGCTGACAGGATTTGTAGCCAAAGCAACAGGGGTGGAGGTGGGGAGCATCAGGTTGGAAGAGTCTTCAATACATTCTGCCTTATGTTTTTCACTACAGTTTACTGAGTATTCTGTACTTGAAGTTTTACTTCATTAGACGACTACATCCTTATCTATAGCTCTGTTCCCTCAACAGAATGAAGAGTCTATTGTTCATATACTCCCCAAGAGTTCATGATAATACTAGGCTTTAAATAAGCAGAGATATCTACAGTAATTCTTGCACCATCATCCCTGCAAAACAAAAGATTTTAAAATGTGCATCTTGATAGTGAAAAATATTTATTTATTTATTGCATATTCCACCTTTCTATTGAAAGATGGAACTCAGGGTGACTAACCACAGCAAACTCAAATAAAAATAAATACAGTTAAAACATTAAGAGGTAACAGGGGTGAAAATGCATAGATTAGAAAAAATACTTTCAGATCCATCAATAAACAATCATCATAGACCTGTCGAATAATCTTGTGAACTGCCTTGAATTCCAAACTTGGAAGAAAAGTTGTATATTAATACAAACTTGTGTACAAACCAACAAACAAATGCCTTATAGATCATAACCAGCACTTTCAGCTTTGCCTGGAAAGAACCAATAGCCAGTGCAGTTGGGCATGAAAACAACATCCAACTAGTTCAAGTCAAACCCTGAAGTAGCTAGTTATGTGTAATGGTTAATTTGGGGGGTAATGAGTAGTGATACAGAGTTATTTTTAGGTATAATAAGTAATAATTTGGGGGGTAATGAGTAGTGATACACAGTTATTTTTAGGTATAATAAGTAACACCTATTTAATTAAGAAATTACTTTATAGAGCTTTTTAAAGCATTTTGACAGAAAGTTTTCAGGTTTTATGCCATTCCCTTACTAACCCTGAATGGCAAGGGAAATATTATTTGGTTTTGTTTTCCATATTTTCATAAATATTCCAATATTTGTCTTATCAAAGTTGACCACTAGAGGGAAGTAGAGAGCATTTCTGTATCTTATTGATAATTTGACAAGACAAGGCGGCACATTAATAATGCACAATACAATGAACCCTTGCTTAATTGGAGCAATGGCAACCCAGTTGCCAAGACATAATGAGTAACAAAACAAGTTCATTTCAAAATGTATAACTTCAAGTTCTGATCTAAGCCCAGTAGCAAATAAAAAATAAGATGACAATAAAAATAAAATAAATGTGCTCCTTGTAACTGGCCCAGTCAACAGACTAACTGCAGCATTCTGAAGCTGCTGAAAGTTCAGGATTCTTCTCAAAAGTAACCTCACATACAGGATGTTACAGTACTTCAAAGAGCACGTTTTTGGTGATGCCAAATATGACATATCCAGGAACAGGAATAGTTGATGCATTAGCCTCAATTGCACATATGTATATGCTCTTGACCTGGCCTCAAGAATACATCCAAATCACAAATAAGAGTCTTAAATGGGAGCATAAGTTCATCTAACAGAGGCCAAACACCTATTTCCCCATCTGACTTTTGACTAAATAAGAGCATATTTATCTTGTCTGAATTAAGCTTCAATTTGGGCTGGATCCAGTCCATTATCAATATCAGACATTGGTTTAGAAGCAGAACAGCTTCCTTGTGTTCAGATGAGAAAGGTAAGAATTGGGTGTCATCGGTGCACCTGTACACTGCCAAAGATGACCCATGTTTTCCTGTCACCAGAGGCAGGAATTGTGGTCATGCTCCTCCACAGCATGATTTCACCCACCTGCCCACTGCTAAGGGCCTGCTGGTTTTTGAGAAGAGCTGTGCTTTTTGCAAAAAACAGCCCAGCATCACTGTACCTAGCGCCAGCTGCTTTAGAAATCCTTGATTCTAAGGACTCCTCAGAGCCAGGCATTTTGGAAGTAACCAGTGATCCACCTGGGTCATTCCATATGGATTTCCAGGAGCAGCAAATTTGCCACTCTTGGGAATTCAATTATTAAGACAGCTACCTCAGTCCAGGGTAGGGCTTCGGCACTGCTTCTCCATAATCCAAGGTGACTCAGCAATAAATTCTGCATACATGTTAGGGCTACAGTTCTATGCATCCATATGCAGGATTATTCGACACAGTGAAAGTTTATTCTCAGTAAACATGGATGCGATTGTGCTATAAGGTTTACAATTTTAAGTTGTGTTGTGAGCTGTGTTAGGTCCCAGTAGTAGGGAAAAGACCAGATACGAATAGAATAGGGCCAGGCTCCTCCAAGCTACAGAGCTACAGTCCCACTGGAAGTCCACTGAAAGCCAAGGACTAGTTCTATGACTACAGTACTACCCATAAGCTACGTGGTATCCCTCCTTCATTTTTTCCTTCTTTTTGACAAGGGCAATCATCAGCATGATTTTCCTTCCTTTCATCTTTATGAATGCAGAAACGGGCATGATAATTTTAGCAATATGAGCCAAGGAAATATGCTAAGCCCACATTCTTTCATTTTTTTAAAGGAAGATTTTAATTGAGCATAAACTCTCAGTAGTATGATCCTGGAGTGCTGAATGGACAGCTCCCCTACTTTATATTTCTGTACTATTACACATCCATGCACTCCTTAGGCAATTTTCTCTGGAACAAAAGAGCAAAACAGAAGCCCTACCAGAGCTCGGAAAATCTTACTATTTGGACCATAAAACCTATAATCCCATAGCAAGCATGACTATTGTTCACGTTGACTACTGGATTTTTGCAGCTGTAGTTTTAAAAAAAGTAATATTTCCAAGGTCCGAACCTTACTCAACTGTGAGAAGATGAGAACAGGTAGTAAAGAAGTGCAACTAATTATCCCTGCCATCTCCCTAGCCTCCATTCTCCCTAAACCTTATTCTACTCACGAAATCCAGATACAACAGAAACAAGGAAGAGAGGATGCAATGAATTCTCACAAATACGCTGCATCTCTGTCTCCAAGCTGGAGAGGCAAAAGGTTTTGCACAGTATGAAATGTATAAGGGCTTCACCAGATTTAGTGTTTTCCAGGGCGGGCATGCATGGTTAGAACATACACTCCATGTGGTGTAGCAGAGCCTGGTCTCACAAGGTAAAAAAATCTAGACTTTTTTGAGTAGCAAGATTGCAAGATAATCCACCACCCCACCAATCTTTTATTTTCCCTGAGTTTAGGTGTAATTCACAGGGTAGCTGGGAGAGAAACAGGTTTTCTGAAGGACACTACAGTGTTCCATGTCATCCCATCTATGGGGACTGTTTATGATGAGCTTCCAAATTCATAACAGCACCGCACAACCTAAAGATACCATGCTTGAATGAGACAAACCTCAACCCCACATTTTTTTTTGCCAGCTGGAAAATCAACCAATTTTATTTGGCATCAGCTTCATGGATCACAGCCTTCTTCATCCAGAGAAATCAAACCAAGATCCAGATGAATTAATCTCATGAAGTGGGCTGCAGCCATGAAAGTTTGTGCCAAATAAAATGGCTATCAGTAAAGATTTTTGTTGCTGCTGTTGTTGTTGCAACAGACTAGCACAGCTACTCCTCACCTCAACAACAACCCCCCCTCTCCGGAACATGTGTCAGACAGATATACCTGTTAGTGAGTCAAGATTGATTCCAACCTCTCTGTGAAGAGTATGTTTATTTCCATACCCAGATTTGGCTTGCATTTGGCATCATGCAATGTGGGGGAAAATCTCAAAACCACTCTCCTAGAGCAAAATCTAGTTCTCTAAACTTAAAACAAGTCTTTTCCATCATCCACCAGAGCTTCGCTAGAAGGAGGGAGGCCTGGGCCCTAGCACCTGTTCCCAGCGCGCCTTCCCAAATACCCAATGTGCCTCTGAGCATGTGCCGAGAACTCTCCTCTGACCAGGAGGAGGAGGCGCACAACAGCAGATCTGGGACCAAGACAAATGGGGGAGAGGGTTTCCGACCCCCTCCATTCATAACTGAGCAATGGGGAGTGGAAAAAAGGAGGCAGACCCTTCTGACCCCCGAGCCACTCGCCCCCGCTTGGCACAGAGAGCTGGGGGGGTGGTTGGCCCTTTCGTTTCCTCACGATCAGCCCCACACCCTCAGCATCGCCCCCCACATACACACAAAACACCTTCTGCTTATGCCAGTGCCGGAAGGGTTGTGGCCAGACCCCGCCCTCCGCCTTTTCTTCCAGCCCCAGAGGAAAATGAGAAAAATCATCCACCCACCACCCCACCGCCCGCTCTCCCTCCTCGCCCCCCCCTCCTGAGTTCTCCGCCCCTAAATCCAAGGGAACAAAGACAACGGCTGCCTCCATCTGGTCCTTCCCCGCGGCCGTCCGGGCTTTGGAGCAAGGGGGGGGAGAGAAGGAGGGGTGGGCACGCAAGAGGCCGTCAAATCCTGTCCCACTTGCCCCTCGCCTCTCCTTTCTTTTGTCGTCCCCCCTCCCCTCCCGGGCGATCCCGGGCTCATCCCGCCGTTTCTCGCAGTCTTCGTCCCCTTGAATCCCCGCGCCGGGGCCGAGGCGCCTCCCTCCTCCGAGGCCGCCTGCCCGCTGCGCCAATGCCTGGGATAGGGGCCATCGGAGCTCGGTGCAGGCACCGCCCGAGGAGGCGTCCCAAGAAGGGCGAGGAGAGCGGCCACCAGCCCCAGGCCGACGCCGGCGGAGAGAGGGCCATGGACGCGGCCATCTGGATCTACCAGTTCCGCCTGATCGTGCTGGGCGACTCCACGGTGGGCAAGTCGTGCCTCTTGCACCGCTTCACCGAGGGCCGCTTCCCGGGGCCCATGCACTCCGACCCCACCGTCGGGGTGGATTTCTTCTCCCGCCTGGTGGAGATCGAGCCGGGCAAGAGGATCAAGCTGCAGCTCTGGGACACGGCGGGCCAGGAGCGGTTCAGGTACTGCCACTTCGTTCCTTTCCACCTGGCATGTAATTCCTTGGCTTTGCCTCCCTCTCTTTTCCCTCACCAACGCCCGCTGCTGCGTGTTACGTGGCGCGATTTTGAAAAAAAAAAATAGAGGGGGGCGCTTCTGAGCATATGCAGAGTGTTTTCGTTTCCGCGCACCCACCGTTCCCGCCCTGGAATTGTTAACTCCCCACCCCTAAGTGCTCAGCACCAATAAGCGTGGGGTTTGGAAAAAGGTACTTTTGGGAACGAGGTCTCCCACAGCCCCACAGCCATCAGAGCAGTTGGTCAGAGGGGATGGAGGATTCTGGGAGTTGTAGTTCTATCAGTAACCTTTCCACACTCTGGGCGGCTAACTTTGTATTGTGGCTTTGAACGTGTTGAGTCAGACCGTCAGCATCCCCGTCCTCACTGTGTTCACGAACTGGCTCCAGGCAACGGAAAGACATGGCATCAGCTTTGGGTAATTAGATGAAGTTAACTCCAGCAGATAGATGGTCTGTAATCCTCAGCTAGGCTGGCTGGATAGGGTAGTGAGTTAGGCATTTGACTGGTTGGAAGCTCAGTTCCCCAGCCTAGATAGCCCTGGGCAAGCTGCACAGACTCAAAGGGCCCCAGAAGAAGGGGAGGGTAACTATTCTGAGTACTCTTGACCTACAGTAGAATACCCCAGAAGGGCTTGCCATAAATCAGAATTGACTTGATGTGACAGAATTGATGGCACATGCATATTACTACAGTACTTTTAGTCCTCAATTAGTGAACACGTTGTTGTTCTGACTTTTCATGACCCCATGGACCAGAGCACGCCAGGCCTTCCTGTCTTCCACTGCCTCCCGGAGTTGGGTCAACTTCATGTTGGTAGCTTCGATGACACTGTCCAACCATCTCGTCCTCTGTTGTCTCCTTCTCCTCTTGCCTTCACACTTTCCCGACATCAGGGTCTTTTCCAGGGAGTTTTCTCTTCTCATGAGATGGCCAAAGTAATGCCTCAGCTTCAGGATCTGACCTTCCAGTGAGCACTCAGCGAGCAAGTGAACACATACATGTTTATAAAGGTATTCAGAGTATATTGTGTAATAAAGTGATGGAAACATGAGAGTCAGTACCAATTTCTGGTTGTTTGTGAGCATATCTGCCTTTCATGAGCAGGGTTCTAAGCCTCAAGTGCTTTTGTGACCACCAGGGCTGGCCCTGCCATTGGACAGAGTGGGCTGGCCACCTCAGATAGTAATAAAAAGCAGTAAATGGTTACTTACTTTAATTTATTATGATTGCATTTTTTTACTGCCAGAGAAGGGGAAGAGGGACTGGTGAACGTTCTGCCTCAGGTGCCAAAATAATTTGGCTGGTCCGGTGTGCTATGCACTGAGACTTCGGGAGCAAAGTACATAGTATTTCCCGCTCTGCCTTAGGCAGAGGAATGTCCTGGACTGACCTTTTCATCAGTAACTCTCCCTGACCCCAAGGGGCCACAAAACTCTTCTGTGTTTATTGTAATAGGCTAGGATCATTACCCACTTTCATCTGAAATTCAACAAACTTTCCTCCACCCAGAGCTTTTGTCGATTAAAATCCACTTCTTCAGACATAAGGAGAGCAAATGCATGTCCCTTATATTTATCCCCATGGTGGTGAAAGTCATGTGCAGGTGAGGATACCGAAAATAGAGGCAGTGACAACAGAAGGTGCTGTGAATCCACCCCAGGTTTTCTTTTGCCCTTTACAGGTGCTCTCCATGGTGCTGAATCTTGCTATCCAAAGTAAATTAGCTACAGTAAATATCTTCCGTGAACTGCAGACTAAAACCAAGGGTGGATTCACAGCAGCACTGGAATTGGAGTCACCAGCCTCCATTGCCATTGTTGTGGAGCGAGCCCCTCCCCCACTCACCTGGATTACGAGCTGCTGGTGTTGTTTGGATTACACAACTCAGGTCCCCTGCCATGTTGGCGGAGGTATTCTGGGAACTGTAGTCCAATCAAGTACTTCTTCCATGGTCTGCCAGTTGCCAGGAAGCGTGAGTGGGAGGGTGCCATTGCAGTCACAGAACACTGTGGTAAACAAGATGCTGGAACATTTGGTATGATCCAGCAGGGTGCTTATTTTCTTGCTTGATTTTCTAGGTCAGGCAATTGAAGCAATTAAATGCAATTAAAATTAAGAAAGTCATTAACTGTGGTAAAAGCCAATGGAACAGTCATCAAAAAGCATAAACACGTGGTATCGGGACAAAAATTGGGTTGAAACAAAGTTTGGAAAAGGGCTGTTCTTGCTGACTTTGCTTTGAAACAGGTCTCAGCTCTTGGACATGGGAAAGAATACAAACAAAATATCTCTGAGGTTGTGCAGTGGGTAATTTTCTCAGTTGTGACTAGACTACAGTTAGAAAGAATTCTGGGTAAAGTAATCTAGGTTGAAGGGTGTGATTTTATAGCAGACTGTTAATCCCACACCCTCCAGCTTCCTCCCAACCTATCTTTAAGAAGTGAACAACTGTTTCTGGATCGTTTTCTAAATACTTTCCCATGCAGTTCTGCTGCAGAATTGCAAAGCAGTGCTTCTCTTATTTTCTTCTAGTCTGGTACTGTTGAGGCAACGTGAGTCCTCTTTGCCCTTTAAGACTAGTGACCGTCAATGTGATGTAAAGATTACAGTGTGGAGCTGTGAGATCAAGGTTCTAGTCCTCACTCATTCATGAACATTACTGGGTCTCTTGGTCTCTCTTTCTCAGTGTGACCTAGCTACCTCACAGGATTATTGTAAGTATAAAAGGAGGAGGAAAGCCATTTCTCTTGCCTTGGGCTAAATATACAGATAATCTAAAATTTTAAAATAAGTATATAGGCAAGGTGTTTAATCCTGTTTGCCTACATTGGAATGGAGATATTAGTTGCTGACTCATTACTGATATTAATTCAACATGGCAACTTGGGGAGGGTTGTGTTGTGACCAAATACAGCTACCGTAAATGGCCATTTTGCTGCTTCTTTGGTCATGTGCTGCTTTTGGAGTAGAAGGAGCAGCTGACAGGGTACTGTTGTTGTCCAAAGGATGCCCCAATGTGTTCAGAGATCTCACATTCTTCGGGGAGGCTCCTTCTATGTCCCCCATTACTTTGCTTCTTTGAAGATTTCACTAGACATGTCGCAAACTGTGCTTTTTTTGTAGTTCATTTCAATGCCATTGGGCTCTACTTCTGTACCCATGCCTGGCAAGTGAGAATAACACTTCATGCATCTGATGAAATGAACTCTAAACCATGAAACCTTATGACACAAGGCATCTGTTAGTCTCTCTCTCGCTCAAAAAAAACAACCCTACAAAAAACCCTGCAAAGATTAACATGGTTACCCCTTTGGAAGTGTGAATGACAGTTTACTAAGGCCTTTGCGAGTAAACACATGCACACAGACTGATGACTGCCTCTACCTCTTATTTTGCAGCCTCCATTTTTCCTCTGCCTCCTGTCCTTTTTCATGACATTTCTAGCCTGCTGTTGCATTACAGGGTAATGCTCAAGGTGGTTTATGTATGTACATCAAAAAACATCATTAAAAACAGTTGATAAACAATACAACTTTTTTGTTGTTTAGTCATTAAGTCATGTCCGACTCATCATGACCGCCATGGACCAGAGCAGGCTAGGCCCTCCTATCTTCCACTGCCACCTAGAGTTTGGTCAAATTCATGTTGGTAGCTTCAATGACACTGCCCAACCATCTCATCCTCGGTCGTCCCCTTCTCCTCTTGCCTTCACACTTTCCCAACATCAGGGGCTTTTCCAGGAAGTCTTCTCTTCTCATCAGATGGCCAAAGTATTGGAGCTTCAGCTTCAGGATCTGTCCTTCTAGTGAGCACTCAGAGTTGATTTCCTTCAAAATGGATAGGTTTGTTCTTTTTGCAGTCCAGGGGACTCTCAAGAGTCTCCTCCAGCACCACAATTCAAAAGCATCAGTTCTTCGGTGGTCAGCCTTCTTTATGGTCCAGCTCTCACTTCCATACATCGCTACAGGAAAAACCATAGCTTTGACTATGCAGACTTTTGTCAGCAAGGTGATGTCTCTGCTTTTTAAGATGTTGTCTAGGTTTGTCATCACTTTCCTCCCAAGAACAGGCATCTTTTAATTTTGTGGCTGCTGTCTCCATCTGCAGTGATCATGGAGCCCAAGAAAGTAAAATTTGTCACTGCCTCAATATCTTCCCCTTCTATTTGCCAGGAGGAGATGGGACCAGTGGCCATGATCTTAGTTTTTTTGATGTTGAGCTTCAGACCATTTTTTTGCACTCTCCTCTTTCACCCTCATTAATTCCTTTAATGCCTCCTCACTTTCTGCCATCAGAGTGGTATCATCTGCATATCTGAGGTTGTTGATATTTCTTCCGGCAATCTTAATTCTGGCTTGGGATTCCTCCAGTCCAGCCTTCCGCATGATGTATTCTGCATACAAGTTAAATAAGCAGGGAGACAACATACAGCCTTGTCGTACTCCTTTCCCAATTTTGAACCAATCAGTTGTTCTATATCCAGTTCTAACTGTTGCTTCCTGTCCCACATATAGGTTCCTCAGGAGATAGATAAGGTGGTCAGGCACTCCCATTCCTTTAAGGACTTGCCATAGTTTGCTGAGTCAAAGGCTTTTGCATAGTCAATGAAGCAGAAGTAGATGTTTTTCTGGAACTCTGCAACTATAGAATACAACTATAGAAATATTAAAATCAGCTTATTCTGAAAACAGTTTAAATCTTCACAGTAAATATTAAATACTTTTGTAAATCAGTTTAAAACAATGTCCCTTCACAACCTTCTTAAGAGCAGTGAGAGTGGAAACTGATCATGGGTCTGGGAGCCACACAGGAGAAAGGCCTCTCCATGTGTTTGTATTCTCAAGAGGGTTTCTCCTGGCGATCTTAATGTTTGGCTAAGTGCAGGTCCAGACCCTAAAATTAGCCCATCCACTCACATGCTGCGGCACCCCCAGTGTCCTGCT